TCCCTCGGGTCTTCCCTCGGGTCTTCCCTCGGGTCTTCCCTCGGGTCTTCCCTCGGGTCTTCCCTCGGGTCTTCCCTCGGGTCTTCCCTCGGGTCCTCCCTTGGGTCCTCCCTTGGGTCTTCCCTTGGGTCTTCCCTTGGGTCTTCCCTTGAGTCTTCCCTCGGGTATTCCCTTGGGTCTTGCCTTGGATCTTTCTTTCCTGAATACCAACACCCTGACCCTTTTGCGCAGTATCCTGCTGGGCAACGTGGCCGTCAACTCGACGCTCACCATCCTCATGGACGACCTGACGTCCGGGCTGGTGGCCGTCATCTGCTCAACGCTGGCCATCGTGGTGTTCGGCGAGATCACCCCGCAGGCCATCTGCTCGCGCCACGGCCTGGCTGTGGGCGCCAAGACGATCCACATCACCAAGCTCTTCATGGCCCTCACGTCACCGCTCAGCTTCCCCATCTCCAAGATCCTGGACTGGTGCCTGGGCGAGGAGATCGGCAACGTGTACACACGCGAGCGCATCAAGGAGCTGGTCAAGGTAGGGGGCCTAGTCCTTGACGAGGCTTTTAAAAGTCGAAAGTTTCAACATCACTGGGAAAACAGGGACACTCCTTCGCAGCAAGGGGTGCAACATCATTTTTCAGGATTCCACTGCTCTAGTACCTTTGTAAAGGCACGACAAATGCTAAATTTAACTTCTCTTTTGGGTGTTGTGCCGTTTTTAGAGGCACTAGAGCATTGGCGCCTTTTAAAGGTGGTACATAGTTTTTCTAGTGATGGCATTACTGAATTGACTGGAATTCGTTAAATGTGCCTTTCTTTGAAACAATTGCCATTCTTCAGGTCACGACAGAGTTCAACGATTTAGAGAAGGATGAGGTCAACATAATTGCTGGTGCTCTTGAGCTCCGGAAGAAGACTGTGGCAGATGTCATGACCAAGCTTGAAGATGTGTACATGTTACCATACGACTCCATACTGGACTTTGAGACTGTTTCTGAGATTATGAAATCAGGATTCTCTCGAGTGCCTGTTTTTGAAGGAACACGTACCAATATTGTCACAATGCTCTACATAAAGGACCTTGCGTTTGTGGACCCTGATGATGAGACGCCTCTCAAGACCTTGTGTCAATTCTATAAAAATGAGTGCAACTTTGTTTATGAGGACACCACACTGGATGTCATGTTTAAACAGTTCAAGGATGGTATGTGCTACTTTTGTGTCTTGAAACAAAAACGAACTTTGACTTTATAATCTTAGGATAGGCATTGGATTTAGTTACACAAATGAAATGAAATTGGCCAATAAATCATGTTTTTCTTACACAGGTATCAAGGGCCACATGTCTTTAGTGCATAGAGTAAACAGTGAAGGTGAAGGTGATCCTTTCTATGAAACAGTTGGTCTTATAACTTTAGAGGATGTCATTGAGGAGCTAATCCAGGCTGAAATTGTTGATGAAACTGATGTATTCAGTAAGTATATTATATGTGTGCTTTTGTTATGTTCCCTAATATTGCTATTAATTTTAACTGCTCTCTAATCTTAGCTGACAACAGATCCAAGAAGCGCAGAAAACAGAATCTTAAACAAGATTTCACAATGTTCTGTGCACGTAGAGACAACCAACGTATTCAGATATCTCCTCAGCTTACGTTAGCTACCTTCCAGTACCTGAGTGCTAGTAAGTTAAAAATGGGACACAATTCGACATATTACCTATCAAATTATTTTATGTTCCAATTTGAAACTCAATTTTCTGTTTAGGTGTTGAAGCCTTCAAGCCTCACAACATTTCAGAGACAATATTGCGCCGCTTACTTAAACATGATGTAATTTTCCACATCAAAGTAAAAAACAAGGAAAAGGCTAGACAAGACCCTGCAACTGCCATATATCAACAAGTGAGCATCCAGAAAATGAAGGAAGTTTCAATTAGGACTAGCAATGATTGACAATTTTCTTTTCTTTTATGAAGGGCAAACCAGCGGACTACTTTGTACTTATTCTGGAAGGAAGGGTCGAAGTGACTGTAGGAAAGGAGAATCTAATGTTTGAAAGTGGCCCCTTTACTTATTTTGGTACTCAAGCACTGATGCAGAGTGTGAATATGGGTAAGTTGTAAAGAAACCTCCCTTTTTTTTGCCATAAAAAAATATATTTTAAACTTTTTAAATTAGGTAAATCTGGAAATATTGTTTTGTTTCTTACCGCACTGTCTATTCCTAGTTGAGTCACCATCCATACCTACCAATATGGGTAGTATGCAATCAGTGAACTTGGACGTCATGCTCCGCCATACATTTGTGCCTGATTACACTGTTCGAGCTGTCATGGATGTTCTCTATGTCCGGGTCAGGAGAGCTGCATACTTGGCTGCGAAACAAGCCACTTTAATGGCCTTGAGTAGAAAGGACTCAACAGATGAGCATTTCGATGATGAAGTTGAAAAGGTATCCCAGCTTTCAAATTAGTTAACCTTTGAAAAAAAAATCTCCAATCTTGTAGTACATATTATATTGTCCTATTTTCAGCTACTTAAGACAATGGATGATGATGAGGCAAGGTGTCGAAATGAAAACCATGAAACCCAGAGCCTAGTAAGTATTCATCTTTTCTAAACAAGAAACTTTTACCAAAATGCCTTGTTTTATGTATTCCCTAATGTTTTTAGGCTGAGAAATCTTCTTTGCACAAGAGCTCACAAGCAAATACTATTTCTGCTTCTGCTCCAAACAAAGAAACAAGCCCCAATGGCAGCATTCATTCTCCTGTAAGTCCTGGTAAGCAAAGGACAGCACTTTCGAGAAGTAACAGCCAGAGCAAATCTGTTTCCCCTAGTGGTGACAAGAAAACCAGAGTGGAAGACAACATTGATGAAATGAAATCATTATTGCCTCAAGAATAAGATGTGTGCTAGTGTAATGCAGTGCATTTATCTTTTGAACTGGTACATTTTTCAAATTGCGTGGTATGGTTAATCCATTTAGCAAAAAAGATGAGAAAAAAGTCATCTAGATGTGAAAATACACTTGATAAATTAGGTGAAAAGAAAACTGCTCTTATATATGAAGAACATATCAGGTATGATGTGAGTCTGAATCACATTGGGCCAATTTAGGAGTTTGAACTAAAACTGATTCTCTCCGAAGCTCCTTCAGAGTGCTCGATACTGACCCATCAACATCAACTTTACCAATTTCTTTCTATCTATAATGTTTTAATTTAATGCTATTGATTTCTTTTTAATATATATTCTTATTTTTATTAGACTATTGTGAAGCAAATAAGCCAAAGAACATACCTTTCCCTCCTTTTTTGTCATTTTAAAATGTGTTTCCTATATTGAAGGTTTTAAAATATGATTTTCTAAAACAAGTGGTTCTTAGATTGTTATTTCATGCATGCTGATGGCTTTTAAATGGTCCCTCTAGCTTTTGGAGAAAATATATGGATCTTAAGATGTGTGCATCAGCACAAACCTGTTGTACCTGTAGTTGTATTTGTGGCTATTCTTTTAGTTAGATGGCAGATTCTGCTTTAATTACCTAAGAGCTGTATGGCGAAGCTTCTTATGTCATTTTTATTGTGATGTATACCATGGGTATTCTTCCCCTTGTCCCACGTGTATTCATTGGAAACAAAATTGGTGCTATGTTGCTAAATAGCAAATTCTACCAAACTGGGGAGGTCCAAGATGTTCCTAAAGTAAAAGAAGAGAATTATCGTGAAAAAGATTTGTTGTTATTAGTCTTCAAATTTTACAAATCTTGGATAATGTTTGTTAAATTGTTGTCTCGCTGTTGTATTACTCTTCCGGTGTAGGAAGGGTTGCTGCCAAACAAACTATTACTGTACCCAGTGATGTCAATAGCTGTACAGACTTAAGAACAGTAGCCTATTCTGTACCGTTACTTGTGTGATAACCTTATCTCATTCATTATTTTTTTTATTGGCTTAAAAAGACCGATGTGGTATTGTGATGCATTTAAGTTTGTCATCATTTTAAAAGCATCCATACTTATTTAATCAAACCCAGGACTTTAGTGTATTCTGTAGAGGAAAGGTAGTATCAGTATATTTTCAATAATTTATTTATGTAGTATTATATTTGAAGGGAGATGATTGTATTGCTCAAAAGTGTACGACCAGGTAATTGAAGAGAGTGTATCATGTAGCCAGTACTGTACTTAAAGGATTTGCCTAATGTTGCTTTATGTTGCTGACAGGAAAATGTTAACACTTTCTTATAGAGAAATATTTTTTATAAGTTTTAAAAGCACAGATACGCTGACAATGGTATTTGTCATACCATTGTTTGTGCATTTAATTCTCCCTAAAATGTATAGCTCTGAAAAGTTATTTAATTATGTTCACATTTTAGTTAAAGAAATGTGGAAATCTATTTGTATTAGCTCATCATCCATTATTTTTAATTAATTTTGAACAGCTTGACATTTGTTTCATGCAAAAGTGCCTTCTTCCTTCAAAATGTGTGTTAATATTACTTAAGTTTTGCATTGCCAGTAAGCCAGTGGCATTTTGACTGCTTTTAGCTGTGCATTTATGTTTCATTTATAGTTTCAGAAACTGAAAGCCCCTGGGCAGGGTATGTTAGATAAAACAGGGTTGATTTAGTACAGCAAGTAGGTGTGGAAGTAATATTGTTTTGTTTTTGAACCATCATTTTTTCCTTTCATTCTCTTGTTACTGAGTCTTGTGGAAGGCAAGAAACTTAACATTTTTGTACCCCGCCAACAACCAATATACGTAACTTAGCGTAAAAGTAAAAGATTTGTATGGAAAGGGGTACATATTTTTAGAGCCATCCTCTGTGATGGAAGAAGTTTATCAGTATAGTCTATTGTTGTTGTTAAATGTTGTTATGTTGTATTTTTTATATAGTGAGGCCTGCAGCAGGTTATTAATTATTGTGTGCGGTTTGAAATACTCAACCTGCTTCTAATATTAAGTTACTTCTCAGGCAATCCTTCATGCTAGAGTTTTAGCATACATAATGTGAGTAGTGTATTAAAGAGAAAGCATTTTGAGTGCATTTGTAACTTCTGAAAACATCGATTAGGGCACCAACCCAGAAACTGCAGCAAGATGTATAATTGCTACTATTTAAATCAAAGTTACGAAAGATAATTTAATCCTGTTAATGTTTTGTATTGTCATAAAAGCATTTGTTGAACAATATATATTGAAAATAACAAGTTTTCTTTCCATTTTACTGAGTTGATGATTTCCTTAACTTCCTTTTCCCTCCTTTTGAAGCAGAGCTAGGCAATGGTACCTTCCATCTTCATAGCTATAATGGCATGGCAGCGTGGTGATTTCACACCATCAAACACCTTCATGATAAAGGCATTTTCAATGCCCTACACACGAATATAGTATATGTATTTGAAGTAACCAGTCATAAGATAAAACAAGCTTTTACTAAGCCTACCTTTTCATGGAGATATAGTAATCGATCCAATATAATGAGTGTTTCTATGACAGGTGCTAGTGCCAGTCTTAAACAGTAAAATTTAATCATTCTGTCATGAGAGTCACAGGTTTCAAACTCTAATTCTTTTATGGTTTTTTCAGAGAGCTGTAATAAAGTACATAGAAATATGGTAAAGCACTTGATAATTAATATAAACAATGGTTAAATTTTTCAACTACCACTAGTACTGTGCTAATACGCCATGACTGTACCTGCAAGTTTTGTTCCAAGCATTGTTGTACTCTATGAAAATAATCAGATAGGCTTCCTGCCTTTGAGCAACGACGACCAACAGAAATCTCACATTCTGACCCAAGACATCTAAGCAAGTGCACCTGGAGTGCGGCACGCCAGAACAATGAGGGATTCATCACCTGTAATTACAGGGGATGAAACAATGTAAAGCCCCATGATGAGATTTATGTGAGAATTAGATCCTGACCTTTCTTTCATGACAAATTCTTTCAATTGACTGGCAAGCTATCATTCTTGCATTGCGTCCTAAAACATAAGTTTCTTCAATAAGAAAATTGCTGAGTGGAAAACCAAAACCATCTTTTTTTTCAGGAGTTGCATCAATCCCAAATTTTTCTGTAATTAAATTATAACAACATCCAATAGTGCACAGTGACACAACTGCATGGGACTTGACGAAAAGCTTAATACATGTTGATGCAAGATCCCCACAAACATGTAGTCCTGTTAGACATAGTTGGTGTCGTACACTAGATCCTAATTTCTCATTGACAATTTCAAGGAGGTTTGTTTCAGGAGTCACAAAAGCAGTTGCATGTTGATATGAGGGGCTAGGTAAAGTGGATGCGTTAGTTCGTTTCTGGAATGAAATAAAATAATCTTACTCCAAACATAATAAAAGTGTACAAAAAGAATAACTTTGGACTGTACACTTGCCTCAACCCGCTCAAACACTTTGGCAGCTCCTTTGGTGTTGCCGGATTTTGAGTCAATACTCAAAACTTGAATTTTCTTCTCAAGCACCAAAGATGTACCAAGATATCCCTTCCCACCTCCAACATCCACAACACAGTTTGACTTACTTGTATTACATATATTAGCAACTTTCTCTTTCAAATTATTAACTTCATGATTCTTTTTTAGGGACATACATTTAGACCTGGGTTGTTCCTGACAGATTTTTTCAGATACGAGGAGGTCATTAAACAATTCTGATGCAAGGGTTAGATCCCAACAGTCCTTTAAGAATTTCCCAATTGCCGTTTGCAATTGAAAGTTAACAGGGTCTCTTCCCCACAACCAAAATATTTCATACATCTCATCTGCAGTGAGAGTTGAAGCCTCTGTTCTAATATCTTCTGGAAGAGTTTCCCAGTAGTTGTGAGTTATAAAACTTGTCATGTGAGCATTTGCCAAAAACTTGAAAGGATCGAGAAACTTTTTAACTTGGTATAGCTTCTCTCGGACAACAAGTGCTTTTCTGACACACATTTTAGTTTAAGATAAAATGTGAAAAAATGAACAAAATCTTTAAAAGGATGTCTTAGGAGCCTCAGGGTAGCAAATATTAGTTTTCAGGAGAGAACATGCTCTCCTATAAGATATTCGAACAACCTCGAGGGAGTCAAAAATGTCTATGCTGTCTACATTATTTCGGGGGAAGCTTTGTGTGAGCTGGAGCACCTTTTGAAGGCTCTGACGGGCTTTTTCCGACAATACAATGGACCCAAGTGTCAACCATGCCTCGACAAAACCTGCATAAAACCCCAGTTCAGCTCCGATTTCTGCCCCCCTGTGGTACCCCAGATGGAAGCCGTCGGCTGATCCCTCTTTCCGACCAGACTCGAGCCCGTCGCGATACCCTTCAGCCCAGAGGCGCTCTTCAGTCTGCGCAATTGAGTCGAAAACGTCATTAATATCCAAGTCTTTCCCTTCCATCAGCACGGCACAAACCCGGCATTCGGTCTTTGAAGATGGACAACACAGCTAACCTACAAAGACACATGTAAGATGACCAGTCAATTTCGAGGACGTCACAAAAATACCTCATTAACATTCCTAGTATTTCAGGTAGATTACTTCATTAAAAATGTAATTACCAAGCAGATCTTCCCTCAAATGCCATGGGCCTCTAAATCAACAGCACGTATGTAAAAGTTGTTCCAGGATTTGTTTACTTTGTGATATAACCGATTTGCTTATTGGCAGCTGACCTGACGGGTTTTTATTGGCACCAAACGTCGGCGAGGGAAAACGTTTTCACGATCAGAAAAGACCGGAATACTTGGATTGTCCGATTGTCGGACGATTAATGGCCTTGAAAAGAAAATCGGAAATTTAAAATTGTACTAGAAGTTTATTCATTTGCTTGTGTTTTAACAAAGTAAAGTGAGACAGTAAATAAAATTTCATTTTTCTCTTTATATTTTTTTTTTTGATTTTTGGGTTTTTTTGGGGGATGAAACTCAGCAAAGCTGAAACCTCTTAGCGCCACTGAGAACCACAACCAGTGTATTGCACTCCCAGCACAGATAAAACAATACAATTGACACATCTATGATACTGCCTTTTAAGTAAGGCAAAAGATTAAATGCATGAAGCACTACTGATCATTTACACACCAATTTCATTACAGTAGCACCTTTCTGCCAGTACTAAAGTTAGCAAACCAGAATTCTTAGCAGAACAAGGTATTTGCATAACATTAGAAATGGGCCAACTCAGTCCGCAACTAATGGCCTCTGAAACTGAAATTAATCACAGTACACAAAAACTATAAATCATCATGGTTTAGGTTCACCTCTCTAGTTCCTGTATACTAGGCACACAAATATTGATTTAGGTATATCAGGAATATAATTATAAAGAAATATTAAGTTTCTATTCAATAAAAAAAGAGAAGTCTACAAAATTGGCCTAAAGCAGCCAAGTGAATACAGAGAACGCAATAGCTCCAAAATCTGCCTGATTGAAATTTATTTAAATAAAGTACTAGTACAGGTGGTCTTATGGCAGTATATACATTGTGAGTACAATCCAGGGAAATTCATAAGTCTAAGTCATCAAAATGAATAAAAATAATTTAAGTATGTGAAAGAAACAAACATTAATAATCATTGGTATAAATTGTACCAATCACGTGTGACGTGTGGCACACCTACGAAGCAGATTAAGGAACTTGTGCATGATATACATTTCAACTACAATGTAATACAAATATATTCATAAATTATTTTTACTACACTTAATCTCACATTTTATTCACCGTTTAAGTTTTAAATAAAATCATAGAAAGCAAGGGGAAATTATAAATTACCAAACTTTCACTCAAAATGTAAAATAAAACTACAGTAGTCGATAACCAGGCTGGGATTTTTTACTAAGTAAAGGTCCAGAGTTGGGTTTACTTAATACGTAATTAGAAGTTCATCAAAAAGTACAAATATCAAGTAAAATCAGACAAGAAAATCTACAGCCACATCCAGAGATGTGAAGTAAGGCAGTGTGTTCAGAAAACATAATCAGCCTCAGCCATGTCAATAGCCCAGCGGAACTTATCACGTTGTGTTTTGTTGTAAATCTTCTCAATAGGAACATCGAACTTCTTGCACCTTAAAAAAATAGTACCAAGTATCAATTAAAATAGTTCTAACACATGTGCCTCCAAGTTTACATATCAAACTCAGAAAACTTACCATGCTACTGATATCCGAGGGTCCAGATAATTCAGCTTAGATGTACCAAGAGCAATAGTTTTGTTTTCTTCCCTATCAGTTTCCTGGATCTCCAGCTTGTTGAGTTGCTCTCGAAGTCTATCCAAAGCTTTCTTTTTCTTGTCTGTATCACTGCAAGAGAACAAATCATTACTTACATGACACATCACTACAGGGTATCCAATAAGTTGAAATGTATTCACAAAGTACACACGCTGATCGATTCCGTTTAGCTTCCTTATATTTTTTTTCTGCATCTTCTACTAGCTCCCTTTTAGCTTCAATTTTTCCTTTCAAATTTTCCATTGATTTGTCATGAGACTTGGGGACTGAACGCTGATGGTTACAAAGAATGGCTACAGCTCGATTTGCTCTATTGTAGGCAAGAATCTGGAAATCAAGAAATTTGTTAGACAAATCAGAATCTACTTTACATCACAGAAAATTAAAAACAAGCACTTTACCTTTTCTGCAACTGTATCATCTGGATTAGTCAATAGATTAAGTTGTTCTTGTAATGTCCATGAAGCGTTGTAAGTACGGAAGACTTTGGCAGTCAAGCCTTCCATTAAATCACTTAAATGTTTATTGAGAATCCCGGTCTAAAGCAGGGGTATAGAAATATTAGAATATACAGTATGATAAAATTAGGGAAGAACTAGTTCCAATACTACTTACATTGAGACGGTCGAAGAGATCATCACCACCTTGCTTCTTTTCCATGAAAAGTTGCAAATTCTTGAACACTCTCTTCTCAACAGGAACTTCATTGTAATATCTGATAGAATCCTTACCAGGAAAGTCAAATATGACAACATTCTCTTTACCTGTAGAAATTGACTGGTGTTAAAGCAAGACAAAAACTATAACTAGTAAATTTGCAAGGATAAGATTGATGACTCATACCATCTTTTTCAGCCTCCAGTGAAATGTGTTCAACCCGCAGAGAACAGCAACCGACTGTGTCAGCCTGGTCTTCAGCATCTTTCTCATTACCAGCTCTCAAAGCAAGCTGCAAAAAAATATTTCACACATGAAATTTATAGACCCCGACAACATACAGAATCAAAGCCAATTAAGTAGGTCCTACCTTGTCAATGAAGTACATAGCTACAGCTCTCTGTCTGATACGCATTTCCTTGGACTTCCAGTCCTGCCGATAGTCATCACGAATCTTGTCAATTGTTTTTGCTAACTTGCGAGCTATCTCGTACTTCTGCCAGTCCTTTTCTCCCTTAAGTTTTGACGAAGGATTCAACATGACATATTTCACTTGCCCTTGAACATTTTCAGTCCAACTGGCAAGCCAAGTTACTTTGTTGTCATGGCGAACTTCTTTCCATCTGTGACCAGCAGGGGCTTTGGGAACTTTAGAATCCTTGCTACAGTTGATGATGACATCCTCAGGATTTACCCTTCTCTTCAACATGCCCATTTTAGGGTGTTCACCTCTACCACGGAATAACCCTGGCGGTTCAATACGGAAGTTACCAATTTTTTCTTGATGTCCATCAATTGTACAAAAGCCCATTTCTTTCTGAATCTCGTCATTCTTTTCCTTGATTTTCTTCTTTTCCTCTTTACTCATAGCTTTCCGAATTTCAGATTGCTCATTGAAATACTTATTCATTGGTTTAAAGTTGCATTTCTTGAGGTCAGTAATGATGGATCTTTCGTGATCTGTCATAACTTTTCGCCAGTCTTTGAAAAAATTATTATTGAACACTGGTTTAGTTGTGTAGTCATGTTCAAGCATTTTCGCATAGAAAGTAGCAACTTCTTCCGCAAGCTCTGAGAGACTGATTTCCTTTCCTATTTAAAAAAGAAAACAGACCCTAAACTAAGTAACTATGAAGACAGCACAGAATACTAACAGTACAAGCAGTAATATATACCATCATAGAAGAACTTGACATTGTCAGGTAGCGGCTCGTAGGGAGGGGCAAAGAGTGGGCCCTTGTGCTCCAAGAACCGCCACTTAACTCCATCCTCCTTCTTCTCTTCTTCCCACCTGCACAAGGGTAAAATTGAGGATTTTAGCGCAGAGTGGAGAGAAATAGACACAACGCGTTTCGAAGAGGTTAACCCCCACGCCGCCTTAACGGTCGCGGTGGTGAACCAAACCGCCATGGATGGCGCCATATTGGAAAGAGGCGCGACCTGGCGGCAGTGACCGTAAGCTGGCGAAGGCGCCAAACTTCAAAAAGAGCGGCAGTGAAAGGAGAAACAAAACCAACAAAACTTAAGAGCTGGCATACCATTTCCAGACTTGTTGCTCCTCCTCTTCCTTCTTCTTCTTCTTTGTGGGGCTAAGCTGGGCTTCTTGCTTCACTGGTGCTTTCTTCTTCTTCTTTTTCTAAAGAGTTAATTGGAGATTAAGCGTCACAGAAATTACATAAGTCAATTGGTTACAGTACCAGTAAAACTTACAGGTTTCAGATCTTCGTCTTCACTGTCGTAGGCTTCACTCTTACGTTTCTTTACCTCCTTCTTGACTTCTTTCTTCACCTTTTTGGGAGCTGCCCTAGCCAGGAGTGGCTTATCTTCCTCACTGTCACTTCCCGCTTTGCGTTTATTTGATGATTCCAGTGATTTCCTTGATGCCTGATGAAAAATTTAACACAATACACATATTGAGGGTGTTAGATATAAATTCTACCTTAGATAACAGAATAACTGAAGAAAGGATCACAGTAGTCAAAATCTGCTCACCAGTGGTGCATCCGAATCTTCATCATCACTATCCTCTCTTTTAACAGACCTATCAACATAAGACTGATCCTGATCATTGTCATCATCAATGCTTGACGGTTCTTCTTTGAAACTTGAATATTCTTCCTGTTTAAAACTGTCCATATTCAAGGATGTATCATCTAAACTGTCATCAGTATCGGCTCGCTTGATAGCTACAGGAGAAATTGAAAGTCTCTCTTCCTTGATGGCCACAGGTGATTCTAATTCACGCTTAACTTCCACCTTCTCTTCATACTTTTTCTCTCTCTCCTTATCCTAAAAATTTAAATGTATATTAAAATAAAAAATGAAAGGGTTGAATAAAGAGGAATAAATTAAATGACATACCTTATATTTATCCTTATCCTTGCGGTCACTATCATGCTTGGACTTTTCTGAAACAGTACAAGAAAATGAGCAACAGTTCGCACAAAATAAATGAGATTATGAATTGAAAACTGGTGCTACCTTTGCTTCGTTCCTTGTCCTTCTGGCGATCCCCATCACTACTTTTTCTATCTTTGTCTTTCCTTTCCTTGTCTTTGTCCTTGCTGCGATCTTTGTGCTTGTCCTTCTCTCTTTCCTTATCTTTATCTTTGCTTCTTTCTTTGTCCTTGTCCTTGTTTGAAGAAGAATGTGATTTATCCTTGTCCTTTGAAGAGGAAGAAGAGGATTTTTCTTTATCTTTACTACTGGATGATGACTTATGCCCAGAACTACTACTGCTACTCTTGTATTTGTCAGTTCGGTCCTTGTCCTTGCTGCAATTAAAAATAACGATAAGCAGGGCCAAAGCAACACAGGTATTTCAGAGAATGCAGAGACACCAACCTGGAGCTTTTATCACGCTCTCGGTCCTTGTCTTTCGATGAAGAGCTTTTATGGTCTTTGTCACGGCTCTTGTCTTTATCCTTACTGCTGCTGCTACTACTGTGCTTATCCTTGTCCTAAAATTGAAAGAAAAGATTACTTAGTAACACCTAATGAGACTCTTCTCCACAGAAAACATTCCACAGTACACAAAATTACCTTTGAACTAGAGCTGTGCTTACTCCTATCTTTTTCTTTGTCCTTCTCACGATTCTTGTCCCTATCTTTGTCCCGATGTTTGTCCTTGTGATGTTTATCCTTGTCACGATGTTTATCCTTTGATTTGTCTCCGGAATGTCCATTTGTCACACCGTTCATTTGAATATGATTTGAACCTGAAACATTTCCTCCTATTAAATTTCAGCAGACTTGAATTTAGAAAAGTAGCAGAGATCAAACATACTTTAAAAACTTTAAAGACAATTTATATCTATGTAGCATTGTAACTTTAAATTATGGAACTGGTTATTTCTTAGATCAGCAGGAAAAGTCAGAACACAAAATATAACGAAGAGCGACCAGATACGAATAATTTATCCAAAGCAGTACACTGAGGCACTTGCCAGTGCCTCAAACAATACAACACCTGCGCAGGCACAAGCCGCCCGGGCAATGGTTGCATTGTTGCTCTTATTTCGAGGTTAGGTCTCCCAGTGTAAAACGACCACCGTCGACTAAATTACAAAACCATGGGTAGAAATCAAAACCAGGCCAAGCACTGGATAACACTCCCAAATTAAAACAACGCAAAAATTAAAATGAGCCTACTCACCTTCGCTTGCCGTTCCATTGCTGTACTCTTTGACACACTTTTCCTGCGGGTAAGAAGAAATCATATTTGCATTACGCTCTGAGTACAAGCCGGAGATGTGTTGGGAGATGTCAAAACGAATCTACATTTAATTCCCGATGCTTTCTTAAAAGAATAACTGCACCGAATCTGGCCGCGCCAGGGCCGCCTCGCCTCTAGACACTGACTCTACGTGTAAGTCGACGCCATGTTGGGACTTAGAAAATTTTCGGTGGTTCTCGCGACAGATTTCTTCATGAGAAGAGGGTAAAATATTGACATAGCGGTGAGAAACTGGCGATAAAACGGTAGCGCGAGACGGAAAAACTCACCTCGTAAGGGTCACGACCATCAGAAGCCATTACTTCAGCCATTTCAGGCCTCCGGACACAGCACTCAGACGAGTTGAAGGTGATTGACTCTGGCGGAACAGAACAGCGTACGGTCCGCGAGACCCTCCACCGAGCCAAGTCCGAGAGCAAAGCCGACCCGAGCCAAAGAGCCGGACCAAGCGCGGCCAGCCGTCAGCCGTCACCCGCCGCGGCGAGCCGCAGCCGCGGCGAGCGAGCGAACGAGTGCACAAGAGCGGATGACAGATATCCAAAAAATTTATTTGAGTTCTAAATCAGATGTTTATTGAACAGCTGATCGTCTGTTTGCCATTTAATGGGAAAGAGAGAGGGGGGGGGGGACGAGGCGTTGTAGAGTAGATATTTGCCGGTAAACTGTGCATTCTAAAACATTGCTATGAATATATATTTTTCAAAATTTGTAATGTGTGTAAATTACTAAAGCGCATCTCAAATAAGTGTGTTTTGTCATGCATGACGAATAAAAATTTAAAAAAAAAAACAAAAAAAAAAACACTTTTTATCCTACATTACTATACTTACACCCAACAGTGTCGGCCCATGGTTTTGTTGGATATACAAATTACTGAGATAATGCATCTCTCTGTCACCGAAACCTGACAATACACTACACGTCATCTATCATTATGATGGCATGTACTTTGTCATTCACTTTGCATAGGCGAGGAGGAAATATGAAAGTACACAACATGAGAACTGGTTAGCTTCCTTGTCCTGGAAGTTTATTAGTGACTTAAGTTTTATCAATTGCATTTCATTGAAAACACAAAATGCAGCTGCAGTTATCACAACAAATGCCGAAAATGATAAACAGACAGGCAAAAAGGCATAGTGGCAGTAAGATCAGTTAATGTGTGAAAAGAGGGATTGCATTATACTTTCAGCCAAACTGTCAAAAAACAAATGAAATAAATTACAAAATTATTCAATTTTCTACTGTACATGATTGCTGAGGGCTTACAAAAACTATCATATTATAAAATATCATAAAAAATACACTCAATAAGTATTTTTTTCTTATGACTCATCATCACTATAGAAATATCATAAGTTAGAAAGAGGAGTTTCTGCCAAAAGGAAGGCTGCTTTAGATCTGACCTTCAGGATTACAGGGAAAAAGAGAAGTTGCAACATTTTTGCCAAAAGGCAAGGAGTACAGTAGCAGCTACTGAGAACAAAACATTGTGCTATGAATTCTGGATACAAAAGTCCTATTTGGGTAAGCCTGTCCATTGAAGTCTCAATTATTATCACTGAGATTTGTCTCATAGACAAGCTAGTAAAGCTGGTTGAACCACTCAACAAAAGAATTGATTGAAATAATATTAGGTAACAAAGAAGAACTGCTATGATGAGTAAGTTCAGGTAGTCACAGTTTGTCAGACAGCTTTCCAAGCTGCTCCACCTTGAAATCGCATTGAAACTTTCAGATAAAGCCAGATAGATATTTTGCTCATGCCACAAATGAGTGTTCAATGAAGATAACGAAAGTTAAACAGATTGTTCTCAATTCTTTGGCTTCATGTGGAGTAAAGTGCTCTAATCTACGTGAGCTTTGAAAGCTGATGCAAAAGGAAGAATCATTTTGTTCTTAACTAGATTGTGACCTGTGAACTGGAATTTAAGTTAGTTCATCCATCATAAAATTACGGCAGTGTTATAATTAGATAGAAAATTCTGAAAAAAGGGAATACATAGAATTATTTTTTTTAACGGTAGTGAATGTACATACCTTTTTCATTCTTCAACCAGCCTGGAGGTATTCAAGTAATTCTAATCTTTAAAAACATGTTCAGAAGCTAATGACGTATTTTAACCACAAGCGAATTTTAGGCACATGTCATTATAAAAATCAGTCCAGAAGGCAGAGGACTCCTGACCTAGGTATACAGGTTTAAAATATGTAGTACTACTATCATCTAAAGCATGAGTGTCAATTTCCAAACAGCTTTTTTCCAATACATCTAACTCTTCTGACAGTTATGGTTTTACTATATCTCAGTCTATGAGGCAAGTAAGCTTAAAGTTCACTCACAAGTTTGGAATACACTACATATAGTGCATTATAGCTAAATACAGAATAAATATGTTGTACAGAGACAAGAGTTGGTTGCTTCAACTACAAGGTAAATGTTACAATTATCTACAAATGTGGCAGACAAAAAGCACAACCAAGAGTAAATGTATCATTTTAAATATCCCAAAGTTGGGTCCTGTAGATAGGACATTTACTATCCACAAGATGATAGAGAGATAAATTTGAGAACTAGCTAAAGTGGTCTCGCACAAAGTTCTTTAGAAATTTGTAAAACCATTTAACTCAGTAAAAAGGTAAAAAGCTGTTTTCTGTCCAACTTTATCTGATCTAGCACCCACTTATTACTTCATACAAGATTAATTAATTACATACATATAAAACAAGATCATATTAATAACAGGCTGAAATTAGTGTTCACCAAATTCAGCTTTAACAACATGAAACAGTAACTATTTTACATTTTTACATAGTTTTTTTCCATTTGTACTCTGTGGACCTTCTTCAAAATTACAAAAAAATACACTTACGCTGAAAATTTTCTCAACAAGTCCATTATAAAAAATCTCTCCTACTCATCAACTGCAAAGCTTATACAACTGTACAAAATGTCTTAACAAATTGTTCACAACTACGATCACCATAAGTATTTACTCACATTTACAAAAGACTGACCAATGAAACGCAACATTGTTGGTAAATTGGTCAGTCACACTGAAGGAGCTTGACAAATATCATAAATGAAATAAAGTTCCAAAATGTACCAGTAGCTGTAATTCTGCATAAAGCCACATTTAAGAGCTTGTCTTTCTTTGTCATGCCTCTGAAAACTGTGTCATGGCTGTTTTCACTCTGAAATTTCAATAATCATGATATTAAATTAAGTCATGTTTGACACAAACTGTAATAGCAAAAGGCATTTTAGGTTCATAGCAGGGACTTACTTATCGAATAATAAGGTATCTGTTGTCATGATGAGTTGCTGTAATTGCTTGTAAACACCCATCTCTTTCAGTCTAGCCTGCCGGTCAATAGCTCCACTTTCTTCTCTCCAAACTAAATTTGAAATACAAAATATTGCAGCAACTTGCAACTTCACATTTGAGTGTGCCTAGAAACATACAAAAACATACAATATGAACTGTGTCTCAGATCTTAATAGACTGATGCCAGAGGGTGTAAACTGTCAGGTACCATGTAGTCTTGCAGCTTTTTTAACACATCTTCGTTGGACATGATGAATTCCTTGGCTGAGTCTCCATCTCCAATATTTGCAAGTATACACAACGCCTGCTCTTTCACCTCTGCTGAGTGGTTTCCCTCAAGAATGAGAACTACTGCCTGTAAATGAAAGGAGCTTTTTAGTTGAATACATCTCTTAATTGCAAAAGGCAACAATGTAGTTTCAAACATTTAACTTACTTGCATAATTTGGTTTCCATGAAGGTTCATGATATAATCAATGTGACTTTTGGTTGAGAGTAAATTACGTAGTAAACCTAAAGTTTTCATGAGAACATCAACTTCTGTATCAGAAAGTAACCTAAACATCTGGTCAGTTCCAAGAGTGTTTAAGATTTGTGATTTTATTTTCTGTTCTGCTTGAAAAGCCATGTTCTAGAACCAAAGTGAATGAAAGAGAAAGTTAAGAGCTGTGCAACGCATAGGCATTATTATTTGTATTGTTCAGAGATCTTACTTACCATGAGAGCCCAAATCCCATTTAGTCTAAGAGCCGGATCTTTCCTTCGTGTCAATTCGCAGAGCATGTCGACAGCCCCAGATTCTAAGATGGGTTCTTTTGAAGGTGAAAATTCCAATAACAAATTGCAAAGGGTAGAGGAAGCAACAGTCAGTATGTCATCAGATGCTCCCTGAAGGAGCTGCATCAAGGGTCGCCACACTGAATGATCCTTGGAACAGAAGGAGCGCTAAAATACATCAGAATCGACAAAGGACCTTCACCGCATACCTCATGCCCATGCCATTTTTTGGAGGCGTACCTGGAAGGTTGTCCTTAGTTGTTGAACAGACCTTGAGAGGGAATGCAAACACCGAATTGCAGCCAAGCGCACTTTAGCACTAGGATCTTGCAAGCCACTGACAATATGTTCCATAAGGTTATCTGTTTCTATAATTTTTTTCCTAATATCTTCATCATTTGCTCCTAAAGATGCAAAAGCCTACAGAAAAAATAAGTAAAAAAAGATTTGAAACATTTTTGCTTCTTTTTAGGCCTTAAAGAATGAAACTTGGCTTGTTATGAAGATTTCAAAGAGCAGCAACTCACCCGAAACGCAGCTTGGCGCAATTCAGCTGCTATTTTGAGTTCCTGTTCAAATATTGCAACAGGTAACCTTGAAGCAGCATGCACTCTAGGATACTTTAACAGATCTGATAAAGTTGGGACCAAATGATTTGATATAGATGCAGTTCTTTGCAGTTCAATGTCAACTTCTGTGAGGTAGGCTAATGTTTCAGCTGCCTGTGCACGCTGAAGAGGAGGACGATCTTTCTTGCAAAGCCTCACCTGATATACCAAAATAAATCAATAAAAGTATTTTTCAAGCAAAAAAAACAATACACATGGTTAATTATTGAAAACTGTACAGCATAATGGTAGTTTTACACAACTTACCAGACATGGAAGTGTGCGGTACAGAATCTTAGGGTCATCAGCGCTAAAGGCTCCAGCACGATGCAAGAAGGTAATACATCTTGCAGCAGCTAGCTGCATCTCACTTGGTCGATCTTGAGCCATCAGCATAAATAACAAATCTGGCATTGACTTATCAACAAAACTGTAAAGGCAATAGGATTTATGTGCTGTTATTTCTCTTGTGGAACATGTTAATCATGCTTATTTGTTATAAATGGTGTGCACAGAACTCACCAAGGCTCTTGTATTTCCAGGCATCTGGCTTGAGCAACACAAGCAGCAACTGTTGGATTTTGGTAGCACAAGCTTGCTAAACAAGTTAACGCATTCATCTGAACCAAAGACTGTGTTGAGCACAATAGCTGTGCTAGAACAGGCACTGCTCCTTCCTGGATAAGAAAACCTTGTTGCTCTGGAGTCTAGGGAAAGAAAAATTTACAAAAATAAAAACCTGTACCGTAAATGAAGGACAAGTAGAACAAATAAACTCAGTCATACCTTGCATGCAGCAGCCAAAATAGCAGGAACACACACTTGACATGTGACGCTCTGTGTTGTGAGATTGAGTAAGCATGGGACTATAATAGAATCCATAAATATCAAAGATACAGGGGCATTTGAAGTTTGAAATATTGTACTTAAGCATCTCAAAGTGGCCTCTGTATACTTTTGGTCACTGCTTGTGACACCTATTGAGAAACAAAACAAGAAATGTAATTGGACCAACCAAAGGGTTTTGAAGATTAGATTAGTTAAACATGTGACGTCAAATGACATCTCACCAGTGAGTAAAAGAGGAACGATGCCGAGCTCAATTAAAGATTGAACATGATGATCTGTACCCTTGGCTAAGGAACCTAATGTTACAGTAGCCTCAGTTTTCATTTGTACCGGCACAGAACAGTCACCTAACAACTGCATTAGCCTGGGAACAACGCCCTGAGAGAGCACTGAACTCTTTTGTCGATTACTTCCAATAACTGAGTTTTTAAGACACCTGAAAAATGTAAAGATACATAAATGTTTCACATTCTACTGACAATATGAAAAAGGAGCACGAGGCAAGGAATACTAACACTATGGCTTCCATACACTTGTCCATATTACTGGAATATAGATCATCAATGTATGAACGGTAGCATTCCACTTCCTGCAACATATAAGTTCTTTTAAAATATAAGAGGGGAAAACTAGAGCATTGGCATATGGAGCTGATAAGATAAAGCAAATGTAAACCTCTACATCCAAATATCCAACTTTGTAAAAAATTCACTCAATTAGAAATAAATAAATTAGTTCCTTTCAAGGTCTACTTGTCCTCAGCCAACACATTGTTAACATGGTAATTCACCAGTCATACAGGAAAAATCTAGATAAATGCAAGGATTGGGTAACAAAAAATTTTAAGTACGTTAAAAACGAGTGGCATTGCATCATATGTTAATGCGAACCAAAATTGTAACAGTGAGATGAAGATTCCAAACATTAGGTTGTAATCTGAGACTAAACAGTACAGCCTCATTCAATACTTTAGTTTTATGAAAATGCTTAGTCCCGCAAATTAGTACCGTGAGAAGAAAAATAATAAACAAGTAGAGAAATGTATTTAAAATGAGAGAAACAAAGCTTCTGAAGTGGGTAAGAGAGCTTTTCAAAATGTTCTTAACCTACAAAACTTGAAAGGTAAGTCGTTCAATGGTGCCGGGTAGTCAAAATTGACAAGTTACCTCACACGTTCAATTCACTCTTACCATAAAAGGCTGTTTGACAGGTAACATTTCTTGACAAAAAATCAATGTTGAAAATTCTGATTACGATCAAAGGAAAAAAACAACAAAGAAAACAATTACAAATGTTCGTAAATCAACTACAGATTTGGGCAACGCCTTCAGAACCCTGCAAACGCACCGCATGAATCGGCGCCTAGTTTATGTTGTTGTTGTTGTTTGTCTTTTGTGAATGGCCTGCCGACTGACGTTCGGCCAGGGTTTCTCGATTCGAGTACGAGAGCAAAACAACAATTTTTCAGCTACTAACCCTTTTTTGTTTCATCTGTCAGCCATGTTTCAGCTACAAAGCAGAAGAGATTGCGAAGGCTGTCAACTGATTTGTTTTCTATTTTGTTGACGCCACGGTCTTGTCACGCCGAGGTGGTGCCTCTTAAACTCGCCAAATAAGGGTAACCGCTTTTCTTTTTTAAAAAAAGTTGTCATTTGTAGTGGCCCTCTGCACGACCCCTGTGCTTGCCAAGGCCGAATGGAATGTCGTGAACTCATCATGAACCTCTGTAACTTCGGCCGGTGGCTGGTACAAATGAATATAATTTTGTGTGTCACATTATCTAGCCATTTTTTCTTTCTTTGTATGTTTTCAGAGAGAATAGCTACTTGTTTATTAAGATGCAATAAATTGCTTATTGTCAGGATTGTCAGTTGTTTGGATGGAGTACATCGTGATTAACAGTTTTATTTATTTTTGTGTGTCTCTAGTTTTGAGTGTTGTAATATACCAGGAAGAATTTTCTTAAATGTAAACTTACTTTAACTTTTTGTTTTACTTCTAGTTTTCAAGCATTTCGGTTGAACCATGGGTTCTGTGTGGAAGCGACTTCAAAGAGTGAACAAGAGAGCAGCCAAGTTCCAGTTTACTGTGTCTTATCATCAAATTATATTGGAGACTACTCCCCGCTGGTGCGTTAATTTATCAGTTTCAATTATTTACTTTTTTGCAGTGCATATTTTCTTGTTGGCCAAATCTCACGCATTTTCTTACTTTCAGGCAACCAAACAGGTTGAGCGTGGTCTTAAGTCGGCGTAGTCGAAGAGTTGTGGCTGATCATTTACCATGGGAACCTACCATGAAAAATCCACTAGTTGGTCATGTAGTTTGGGCAATTCCCGACAACAAAGAAGTTGCAATCACCCTGTTTAAAAACCAACGCACCAATGAATTTGAGGATAAGGAATGGACATTTATTCTAGAAGATGTAAGTTAGCGCACTACCTCAAACAATTAATTGACAAAGCATCTGTCATTAAATGTATAAATTTTTGTCCTAAGGTATCAAGTAATGGCAAACGTCGTCAAATAGCAAGTTCAAATGTGAATATGAAAAACTACGCTAGTTTTGCCTCCTCTCAGCAGCCACTCACTGTCTCCTTCCGACCAACCACAAAAAAAATAATAAGTGCTTCTCTGGAGTGTACTTTATCATGTGTTTTTCTTAGAGAAGGGAAAGCAACGTAAGGTTCTTCTGCTCTGCTGTCATGCTGTTCATGTTGATTGGATCAAACTGTATGCTACTATTTTTTTTTTCTGTGTGTGCTTTCTTTTTTTAGTGATGAGGATATGCAGAGCATGGCAAGCTTGATGAGCGATGTTGCTGCTGTTGGAGACTTCGATGATGAGGATGATAGTATAAACAATGGTAAGATTGCTTTGCAGAGAGATCTGAATGTATTCTTACTTAACTTCAAAACTACAACATTGTCTATCTATTTGTAGATTCAATGCAGCAATCTATGCATGAAGTTCTTGATCTGACAGCTCAAATGGATAAATTAACTCAGAGCTTAAGTGGATCAGAATTTGCCAGTACACCTCTCAGTAGTATGTTTTCTCACATTTTATACTTTCTAGTTGGATATCACAAGAAATTGTTTCAACTTTTTTGTTTTTGTGTTAAAGTTTCCAGTTTGACATCCTTTCCTAGAGATGACCTTACTCCTGTGGCGAGTGAAGGATGTGCAGATAGTGGGTTCCCATCTTCAAATCTTGTGGATGGTAATAGCTATGAAAATGAAAGAAATGATTTTGCTAAAACACCTACTAATCATGAAGAGTAAGTACTGTGTAGCTTTTTGAAAGTGCATTTCATATCTGTAAAATATCAATTTAACACCACTTCTATGCAATTTCCTAGCATCAATGGGGACCAGAAAAATGTTAGTCTGAGCTTGGAGCCAATTCTGAGGGAAAAGGATGATGTAGGTTCTACACAAGTTCAATACACATTGCTTACTTCTTTAATTAATTAACTATTTTTTTTATAATTAATTTGTTATGTCCAGTGTCAACCATCTATCCCTACTCACAGAGCTGGAAAAGAAACCACACCAGGGCAGGATCTTTTAGAATGGTGCAAGGAAGTTACTGCCCACTATCCTGGTGTGAGGGTTACAAACCTCACTACTTCCTGGCGAAATGGTCTAGCTTTTTGTGCCATCATAAACCATTTTAGGCCTGATCTAGTGTGAGTTTTTGTTGTTTTCTATATTGCACTGATCAGTTTGCCGATCTGATTGTTAATAATTTTCTTAAATTATTACCATGATTGTTCACAGAGAAATGGACCACTTATCTCCACAAAACGTTAGGCACAACTGCAAAATTGCCTTTGATGCTGGTGAAGTTCTTGGTATTCCAAGAGTCATTGACCCTGCTGATATGGATGTTCTTACTATTCCTGACAAGCTCGCTGTGATGACTTACCTCTACCAACTTCGGGCACATTTTACAGGTTTCTATTGTGAAGTAGATATTGCACTTTGCATTTTGTCTCTACTGAAAGATTTTACACTTCTTTTATTTTTATAGGTCATGAACTAGAGGTTCAACAAATTGGTAAAACAGCAAATGAGTCGAGCTATATGATTGGTCGCTTTAACTCAGACACAAACACTGATATAACTGTACAGCTATTTAGTCAGGAAATATTAAACCTTAGGAAAAAGGACTTTGTTTCCCCCAAAAGCTCAGGAAGGTAGATATAAAATTTAAAATATTTGTCTTCCAAATGATTGGACTTTAATCCAGCTTCCCGGTTTGTAAATAATCTCATGTAAAATTTTGTTCAGATCCAACCACTCTGATTCTGGAGAAGTTGCTGATGATGGCAATGGTTTTGCTGGTAGAAACAGTTCATCTCAGCCATCTTCACCTTGTTCAGTGCAAACCCGCTCACCGAAAAGCCCAGTATCGGCAAACTCCCAACAGCCCCCTATCTCCCCCTTTAAGGAATCTCGTCAAAGTTCTTTGTTGCGTTTACGCCTTCCGCTTGTGAGCTCTGTCGATAACAATTCAGACTGTAATTCACCCAATTCTGTTCGCGATGTGAAAGATAAAATCCTTGCTGGTTCCAAAAGCATACTGGGAAAGGTACTTTCCCCATCAAAAGAGAAGTTATCTTCCAGAGAGAAAGTAAGAATTGTGTCTTGTGACGACTTGTCCCCAATGCTTTGTCGGTCTTATAGACTAATCTGTAGTGTATTGTTATAGAGTAAATCACCAACTTCACCATTAGAGCGCCCTGCGCTAATGACACGCAGGCAGTTGACAGATCCCTTTGGATCAGATGACGAAGAATCGTATGTATCATTTTAATTATATCTTGCACTCTCCAACTTAAGTATAGAGTATAATTTTTTGTTTTGTTTGGATGATTAGAAATGGGCCTGGAGATAAGAAATCTCTCAATGTTACACAATCTGAAATTTCACAAGAAAACTCCCCTAATAGTGTAAGTGAATCGTTTCTCTAGGGACACTACATAGGTAACCTGTTCGACAATGTCACTCATCTTCATTTTCATTACTCAGGAAAATGTTGGTGCTGCAACTCGTGGTAGCAGAGAAAATTCAGGTAGCAGGTCTAGTATTACACCTGCTAGTGAGAAAGCCGAGACAGGCAGCTCTTCACTCAATGTAAGATTCTACTTATTTTTTTGTGCTTAAGTGTGATTTTGCAATTCTAGTCATAGAGTGATTGCCTAACAAGTACACTGGTAAATCAGAGGTAGAGGACTTTGCACCTTTTAAAGGCACTAACTTTTAATGCCTTTGCAAAGGTCGGAATTTTCTTATGATCCCCTAGAAAGGTGCAATGTCTCACCTTAGGTTTCCCAGTGTGTGACCTTTACCCCTTAATATGAGTGATGCATGTTGCATGGTTTGACAGCCACTGTTGACAAGACATGAGGAGCTGCGTGAAAGAGCCAGGCAATTGTTACAACAAGCTCGTAGGGAAGCTTCATCACAGATTGGTATCAGTCCTGCAGTTACACCAGCAGGTGAAATAACTCAGGTCAGAAATTAACGTAACCTCTACGACACAGGGAAATTATACAATTAGTCCTTAAAATTAAATCTTATTTGTCAACCTTGATCTTACTTAGAATGACCAAGACCGTCATCAACAGTTGAGAGAACGAGCTCGACGCCTGATAGCTGACGCTCGTCTTGGTGTGGCAGCTTCGGCAGACATTACACCTTCAATAGAAAAATTGCCTTCTTCAGGTATATCTTTCTGTTGGTTGTGATTTTCAATTCTGCTAATTTACTGAGTGTATTTCAGCTTTGCTTTACTTACAACGATTTCTGATGTTATTGTGGGACCAGATATTCAATCACCAGGATCAAGTGGTTCTCCACAACGCCAGCTTAGTGTTCAAAGTAATAACAGTTCGCCCAGTAAGGTGTGTGTTACATTCTTATTTAAACTACATTTTTGCTTGGAATAATGGTAATTCCTGTTAGTGCGACTCCACTGGGATCACGGGCCGAAAATGTTATAACGGGGAAATCGTTGTATCCGGGGGTCGTACTAACGAGGATTGACTGTAGATCTAAAATCAAAGAACCACCCTTTCATGGTTATTTCACTGGATATGGTAATTGTTTTCTTTATTTTCCAGCAATTGGGCTCAGGTCAACAGTCATTTGACAGTGGCTCTGGAAGAATGGCTCCATCTCTACATTCATTTACATCATTGATAGATAAGATATCCCCTGAACGGTCACCAGAACATAAAATGGTAGGCTCAATAATGTTGTGCCCTGTTCACATTATGTATGTTATGTGCTATGTGTCACAGTGTGGACAAGATTTCACTTTGTTTTATTTACTTGTAAAGCAAAAATTCCAAAGGAAGTAAATTTTCAAAATTTCAGGTGAGCAAAGAAGTTGGAAGCTATATTCAAAATGAACTAGAGGCTCTGGAAAGAGAACAGAAACAGATTGATCGTCAAGCAGCAATCCTTGAGAAGAACCTACGCTCTGTTATGGAAACTGGTATTAATTTGTCATAAATGATCTAGCTGGACTGTAACTTTTTGTTTTATCTTATTCAATATAACTGGAATCATTTATAGGTGCTGATAAGGAACGAGAAGAAAGTCTCATGTCAGAATGGTTTACTTTGGTCAACAAGAAAAATGCCCTCATTCGCCGTCAAATGCAGCTCAACATACTGTAAGTATCTCTGGTTACGGAAACTGTCTTCCTCACCAAATTCAGTAATTGTTCAGACTTGTATGTATTTAAATTATGGTTCTTGTTTTGTTTTTTGGTTTTTAGAGAGAAGGAAGATGACTTGGAAAGAAGGTGTGAGCTTCTGAATAGAGAATTACGTAGTATTTTGTCAATGGAAGGTATGTTTGTTGCAAGTCTGTGAAACACATCAAGTTTTCACCTTTTCCACTGGTAACTCTTTTAATTGCCGTTGCAGATTGGCAGAAGACTGAGGAACAGAAAGTACGTGAAACTTTACTACTTGATGAGCTAGTGTCTATTGTTAACAAGCGTGATGAACTTGTTCATCATCTTGATTCTCAAGAGCGCGCGTAAGTCCCCAACTTTGAGTGCTTGTACCTTGTCAGTATATGGTGAAAAATTAATATGTATGACATTTTGTTTTGTTGATAGGATTGAGGATGACGATGAAATTGTTCGTGACTTAAGTCGAGGTTTTGGTCAAAAGAAACCTAATTGCTCTGTTCAGTAAAGGTATTTTATGAACATGTGAGGTATGTTATGCCGCATACATAAATGATGTTGTATAATTGTTCTCACTCATTAAATCTTGTGGGGCTGATGCATGTATTTCTTTCCAGCTGTGATGAAACTGTCAATTTTTTGCGAACAAAGAGGTTGAGACTGCCAAAGATGAGCTTATTGATCTATTATTGTAAAACCACAAAATACTATTGAATATTTGTTTTCTATCTATCTATAATTTTATTGTAAGTTATTGACTAACTTTTAATTATTCTTTGAATTCAAGATCTGTGATTTGTTTCACATCAGTCAGACAATCTGATATTGAGTATTCTTTTTTTAATGCAAACATCTGATTTGAGAGAAGTTATTTACATTGTTTAGAGATTTGTCAACTTAGGTTGAATTTTCTCATGAGCAATTCAAAATGAACTTCTCGCTAACAGTGTCAGGTTAGTTTATTGTGTCGTGTGACTTATTTAAAATGCTGGTTCATATTGATGATTTTATCTAATCTACCGTATTGGGTATGTTATATTGAGAACAGATTGTTATAGAGATTTTTCTCTGCCAGCAGGAGTAACTCAGACCATCCATGTCAAAACAGTTGGTATTATTAATATTTAATTCCTTACTAAACCCCAGGGATTGCTTTTTATTTTTCCTGGAAGAGGTTTTGTTAGGTATGTGTGTATTGTATCAAACTTCTTTGATGATGTATACTTTTTAACTTGTGATAATTTTCCTTGAAACAAAAAAAACAAACAAAAAAAAAACAAAAAAAAAAAACAGGCTGACACTCAGATTTTCTAGTCCATTTATAATTAATTTGCCAAGACTTTAGCGGTCTTGTCTATTTACTTCAAAGTTATTTGTCTTGTTTACCCCATTAATGGATTTATCTTTCAGAATGTTGTTGATCAATCAATGTACTAACCTTAAGCATTTTCCCTTTTGTCAACTATTCTTAGGTGAAACAAATGTGCTAATTGAACCAAAATCTTGACCAGGAAAGTTGTTTAGAAATCAAAACAGTGTGCTATCTAAAGAAACATGCAATAGGTTAAGCATTTAGTTGATAAGCAAGTCTGTGAACTAAGATATTGTTTCTAAGATTGTTTAAGTTATTTAAGTTTTTTTAAGTAGTACAATTTTTTCTGATTTCCGTGTGGTGTGAACTTGAAGTTTAATTGTTTTCCATACTTTTAATAAGCTTGGCTATAGCATGGTTTTATATTATGTAATTGTAGTTAGCAGCAACCATGATAAAACCTGTGAATTAATGTAAATCTAAGGCCTATGCGATGCTCAACTAAGAACACAGAAATGCTTGCTCTTCTGTTATTTTGAAAACCAAAGCACCACAATGAATAAACCCATTACTGCCTTTCTTGCCAGTCAAAAATGAGTAATAATGATTGCTCGATATTATGCCTTTTGCACATAAGAGGCATGGATATACTTTGAAGGACCATTGCATTGATCCATTGAAGATAATGTTTAGACTATCAAACTCTTGTGATTTTTAGTATAATACGGAAAAAGTTCTGATTTTCACACTATTATTACTATTATTATAATAAATGGGCTGAGCTCTACAAACTTAACTTAGCCTAAATAAAATTAATGCAAAGCCACACTGCTCTGTCTTTGTTTTACATTTCTACTCCCTGCTAATCTTTCCTGTCTCACAATACAGTACAGTTCAGCTTACATCAAACAAATTTCTCTCTCCCGGTGTCTATTATGTCCCATCAAAATCATCAACCACCACTTCTAGAATTTTTTCCATTAGGTTGTCCAATAATACTCTTGCGTGTAGGCTAAGAAAAAACGAAAAACGTCCAGAAAAGGGCTACAGCAATCTTGAAAAAACTTTTTACATTTGAACTACGCGCCTCTACGCGCGTGCTTGGGTGGTGCATTGTGGGTACCCAATGAGCGCGCTTCTCCTGGCCAGAGCTCGCTCTGCTGCTAGAATGTCATGTCCTACTCCGCCTACTCCCGTACTCTAGATGTGTAGATGTGAGCGAGTGAGCAGAAGAAGAGGCAATAATTGAACAGCTAACCGCTCTCAACCGGCAACTCTCGGCTTTCTTTTTCGTGAAATCGTGTTGAGCATCCTTGGTAAAGACTTTAAATTATTTTCTGGTGGGAAGAAGTGACATTTGCCATCTCATATTGTTGGTTCGTCGTGCCTCTACGGGCTACGGTTAACCGGCCATAGTCCGCATGCTGGTGCAATACCGTCGGTTTGTTATGTGATCAGAAATTACTTTTGTTGCTGTCCTCTCGGTCTCTCTGCTGCTAGCTTTCAACGGACATGCCGTTTCTGATCAAGGATACCACTGTCTTGTTTCAGTTTATTTGTTGAGGGAGCTAAAAGTTCATTTCGTCCCACTAACCTCTCTTAACTTCAGATCAATGAGTGACCAAGACCTGAACTCTCACAGTATAGTTATTGTATATAGAAACTAGATGTAGAGTCCTTTGAGCTCCACTGTTTTGTGTTACCATTGGTTTACTTTTTACTCTCTCTAGTCGGTCTTAAACCTTTCGACCCAATGGCCATGGGGGACTTGACTGTGTTGAATACGTAGCTGCTTAAATCAACAGGAGTCTGATTGGAATGGTTGCACTACTCTGCGGACATTAATTAGAACAAGTTGTAAATTTTTGTTCCCAACGTTCCCTAAATTTAAGTTATCATATGTGACTTATAATAACCAATATCAATTGTAATTATAAAATGTGTGTTGCAGGTTACAATGGCACAGGCATTCGTACGACTGAGTCAGCTTGGCTTTGGTTTAGCAACAGCTGGTGTTATTGTAAATTCAGCTCTATTCAATGGTAAATATTTCAATCTATTCAATAGTAAATACAATTTTATTTTTCATTACAAGTGTGATACTAAAAGCCATCTTATCTTTTCCAGTTGATGGTGGCTTTAGAGCTGTAATATTTGACAGGTTTAAAGGGGTCAAGCAAGATGTTATTGGAGAAGGAACACACTTCTTCATCCCATGGGTTCAAAGACCTATTTTATTTGACATTCGTAGTCGGGCCAGAAATGTACCCGTTATGACTGGTAGTAAAGGTATGAAAGTTTTAATTGCAATTTGAATTAGAACGTTGTTAGTTTTGGAGCACACTCACCCTTTTTTGGTGTATTGGTGGGAATGCACTTTCTGATTCTCCCTATAGCTCTTAAGTTCTGGGGTAAGGGTGCCCAACTCATGCTTAGCCTAAGACGCCTGCCTCCAGGCTGTGCGTTGGCTAACAGTGGGCAAAGGGTCAGCCAGTTCTTAATCCAACTTAATGTCACAGTTGGTAATCTAAAATTTGTTTCCAGATCTTCAAAATGTTAATATCACCCTTCGAATCCTGTTCCGGCCTATTCCTGACCAACTTCCGCGTATTTACACCATCCTTGGTGAAGACTATACTGAACGAGTTTTGCCCTCCATCACCACTGAAGTTCTGAAGGCTGTTGTGGTAAAGTTATTTCTTTTTATTGATAAATAAGCAGTTTGTTTCAAAGGCATTTCCTTATTAATGTGATTGTATTTTTTCCACCCACAGGCCCAGTTTGATGCTGGTGAACTGATCACTCAGAGAGAGTTAGTCTCACAGAAAGTAACTGAAGATCTCATGGAAAGAGCAGCACAATTCGGAGTTATTTTGGATGACATCTCAATTGTACGTACAAGCATGAAGATTTGACTTAACAATTTTATTTTACTTTTGAGCTTACAGTTCTGTGTGCTTCTGTTCCCTAGACACATTTAACTTTTGGCAAAGAGTTCACGCAAGCTGTTGAACTTAAGCAGGTTGCTCAGCAAGAGGCTGAGCGAGCTCGTTTCCTTGTCGAAAAAGTAAGTGGACTTCAAGTAATTTTTCTTACCTTTCAACCAAAAATATTTACACATACTCTTATGTCAGGCCGAGCAAACGAGGAAAGCTGCAGTCATCTCTGCTGAAGGTGATGCACAGGCTGCTATTTTACTGGCTAAATCTTTTGGAGAAGCTGGTGAAGGTTTGGTTGAACTTCGACGAATTGAAGCTGCTGAAGATATTGCCTACCAGTTGGCAAGATCAAGACAAGTATCTTACCTTCCTTCTGGTCAAAATATTCTTCTCAACTTGCCAGCTCAGTAGACCCAAATTAGTGAACACTACCATCTCTTAGTGACAATAGTTTCATGTGGTTGGGCTACATTCCTGATATTTGGGAAAGTCAAATTAAAAACTGTTATTAGGTTTATGGCCAATTTACAGTGAATTTAATCTGGGCCCATTGCTATCATACTGAAAATTATTCTGTTCCTGTAACTGTACATATTTTTATTCTTACATCTGTTGTGAATTTGAATGCATGATTTTGTTTTTTTAGAGCAGAACTCATCTAATTCAAATTTAACTACTGAGAAGTTGCATTTGAAAGGATTGGATTATTACCTTGTAGATTGTTGCATTTTTCAAAACCTTTATTGATGTATCTTGTAATTTAGTTTATTTGTCCTGTATTGTTCATTCTTTTTACCTCAGATTTTTCTCCTAGTTTATTCTGTTTTGAGCTGTGTGTTCATCAATTACGACATATTTTGACAATACATACCTCTTAATGAAGATTGCACCCTTCTTTTACTCTAGGATCTGGGTAACACAATGTTAAAAATGTAAAGGTGACTTCAGAAATCTTAATTTTATTGAGACCCTAAGTTCTAAACAGCTATGCTGAGAAAAAGGCAATTCTGTATCAAAATACAAGAAAACATAATGTACGAGTCAGACCTCAATCGGAAGTTTCTAAAGTCATTGAATCTTTTGTGGTAGATTTAGTCAGCCTGAAAGCTATCCTTCAATATTTTTTTCTTGCTTCATTCCAACCCAATCCAAACCATTCAAAATTGCTCTTTGAACGAAGAGGAAAATGAGTATGCACAGGGTGCAGTGGGCTAAATTAGCAATTATGACTGATTTGTCATCACAGCAAATAATCATTTTGAAGCTTTGACTGGTTTAATCAGTTAATGGGATGGCTTACTTAACAAGACTAAATCCATCAGTCCCATCACACATCTGCAAATTTATTATGCAAAATTAAAATTATCTTAAGACAAACACTTCTACAGCTGAAGCATTTTTATTAACAATAAATAGAGAGTCATTCCAGAAGGATAAGTACTGTCCAAAATTCATCACAGATGCATCTTTACCTGCAAAGTTTGATAAACAAAAAACATCTATTTCTGCTACTTTATAAGTAAGATTGTTATATCACATAAAACAGAAACTTGGCCAAAGATTCCCATGAAAGGGAAATCTGCAATCCATGAATTAATTAAAAGAATGACTCCAATAAATTAATTTGAAAGATCTAAAATGAAAAGCTGAACATTATCGTCTTCTCTCAGACTTTTGGGTCTTTCGCTTTTCTTTTTTTTCAGCTTGCTGCTGTTTCTGCTTTTCTCTGGAAAATGAGAAAATCATCTGTTATTACCTAGTACACATAAGATTTAAGATCTACATTTAATTAAATTTACCAACCTATCTGCTTTGTCTTTCTCTTTCTTTTGTTGACTGTCAAGTCTTGCCTGCTCCCTCTTTTCCTTTTCAGCCTGTTGGATTGACAATACATTGGTATTCTTCTCAATGCCAATATCATCACCTTCTTCTTCTTCGTCGAAGTCGCATTCGTCCTGAACTTGGATCTAGAAGAATATCCATTGGGATTGAGAACTAGAATTTCACTGAAATAAACGGAGGAAAAACAATTCATCGCACAATGACTCACTTGACTATACTGAGCTAATATAGCCTCTCGAAGCCGTCTTTCTTCTTCAGTATATTGCTTTTGCTGCACTGTCTGAAGAGTTTGAGACTCTAACAGCTTGACAAGTTTCTTTTCAACATCATCTTCATCTGTTCTTCCTTCGGTGGTTTGAGATTTCATTCCTTTTTGCCATTCCTCAAGAATTTCTCTACAAAGCTCAGATATGTCATTTTCCTGTAAAGAATAACACTTCATAAGCAACCAAACTATTATCAGGGAAAGTAATTACTATTTTAAGAACATTAAACATGTGAGATTGCAAAAGTTATGAAAAAGCACTAGAAGGTGAATATGGCCCAATCAAACTACGTACGGTAATTTCAGAAATTATGTCTTCTAAAGCTTCTATCTTCTCGTCGTTGCTTTCGTCTCCGTTTAGAATTCCCTTGATGTAAGAACCAAAAACTCCTTCATCTGTATTCAAATCCCGAAGTTTGCATCCGAGCCAAGCATCAAACTCAACCTCGCACGGTTCCATAGCCATCGCGGCCATGGTGCTCACGAAACACTGGTTGCCGCGGGCCGGACAGTCAGTTGAGACTAGTTCAGAGTAAAATGTAACTTTGAAAAAGGCCAGCCGAGCCAGCAGGTTTCACACAAACTCTTGCGTTTTCTGGCGAAAACCAGATGCTTTCATGGGCAACGAACGACGGACGGGGATGAAGGGGAAGGAGGAAGAATGCAAAGAGTGACAGGAACACCAGGAACATGAAAGCAAGAAGTATGACAAGTTTACGATGTTATACAGCTATGAGAAAATTTGTCACTTTCAGCTCTAGCTCTCTCTCTATTTGAGGCGTTTTACTCCCATGGTTTGACGTAGTTTGACGATATCAAGATGCGACAGAGTCTTAACAGAGTGGTCCACGAGCGGTAGGCAACTCATCGCCAAGTTCCTGGGGCTCAGATTCACAACTCGTTCACAACTCTGTGCCTGACACACGAACCGGGCTTTGTTCACAATATGCTTCTCCGTTGTTGGGTCTTCCCCTGTGTCTTGCCCTGTGCATTTCAGTTGAATCCCCGACGATTGGGCGGCCGAATTTGTACCCTCTAGTATTTTTATCTGTATTAGATCGTGAGGGGTAGAAAATCTCGGGCAATGCAGATACTGTTTCTTGACTTTACAATTTTGAAAGGCATTCTATTCGCCGCGCGGTCGCAAAAGGGGTTGTGCCCCCACCACTGATTTCGTAGCCAACCCATAAGTAAAACCGTAGCCTTCATACCTTAATTTTTTCTCTAACTAAGGTAAGAAATAGAGTGAGACTATTTGGTAAACGCAATTTCAGTTAATTTTTGGAATGAAGAAATCATATGTGTGCGTAAGATGATTTTCACCCTCTGCACGACAGTGTTGGAAGGTTGGTAAAAGAAGACGTACCTGGAAAGCAGCCAGCCAGACAGCAGCAGCAGATGAGCGAAGTAATCACTAATCTAGAATTTTATTTACCAACTGCTGGCTAGGGATGGAAAATTAATTTTTTTTAATCGATTAATCGTTAATTGTCGCAAGAACGAGTTAGTCGACAAAAACCGATTAACTGACTCGATTTAATCGAACAAATCAATTAATCGACCGGTTAATTGCTTTTCGAAAAGTGAAAGCTGGGAGGCCTTAAATATGCTGAAAATAATCGCAAATTTCAATGAGAACGCATTTATTGGGTTTCTATCAGGTTTTAAAGAATTAAAACATTCAGAATTCAGAACAATGAAAATAAAATGACGTTGGCAGCGCCGCGTTGAGTGGTGGGGTAGGAGAGGGAGGAGGAAGGAAGGCAGGGCGGGGGGCGGGTGGGGGCAGCCGAGCAGCTCGGCCGGCAAGCGGAGCGAGCGGCAGCAGCAGCAGATGGCTCAGTCAGGCGCGTTTGCGTTCTAGGTTAGGTTGTTCGGGAGATAAAATCTGATATTTTGCACGCCATTTTCTCGGCTTTCCTGAGAGTTGGAAAGATCAATTAATCGTTATTTTTTAACCGATTACCTTATTAATCGACGTTAAAAAATTGATCGAAATTTTCGATTAATCGACTCGAATTAATCGATTAAGCGGTTAATCGATTATTAATTTTCCATCCCTACTGCTGGCAGCTTTCTCGTCGCCTATTTTGATTGTTTTCATCTCCTGTACTGACAATATATTTTGTCACGTCATTATTGGTATACTATGCATTTTAACTCGTGAAAAATATTGTTTATTTTAGGTTGCGCATGTGGTTCAAATTTAACCTCAATATTTGCATTCATTCACGTTTACTATTCTGTCTGCAATAATCGCTTTTCTGCTACGTATTAATAAAAATTAGTTATTTTAATCTTGGTATTTTATCATTTATGTTAGTCCACCAGTTTTCTTTTGGTACCTACCCGTTTGATGTTTATCTATTCAGACATCCTTTCAGTACCTGTTGTCATAGTTCTTTGTTAAGTGTCCTCATAACAGCTATGAATGATTCATTCAAACACATCTTAGTAATACTGTCATAAATATTTGTTTGAAACATGGTTTTATTGACGTTAAGTTTGCTTGGGAATCAGTCTTATTGTGCCCTAATATTTAAGTGTGTATGTCCTCTCTTAAGGTCTAGGAAATCATCTCTCATCATGGCACGCAAGAAAACTAGACAGCAGGATCCCAATGATTCATCGGACTCGGGTGATGGCAATGGGGGAGGACAAGGTAAAATTTCCATGTTGTTTCTGGTTTGTTTTCCTTCTGTTTTGCAAATCACAAGTGAAGTTTTCTGGTAACCATCCGTCAATTGCTCCTAGGCTCAGCCAACCCATGCGCCTGCAAGCACATAGCAAGAGCTGTACAGTTAGGAGTAGTAAAGAAAAAATTGAAAGGCGGAATCAGAACATCATGCGATACATGTGCCAAACAGACAAAGAATGCCAATATTGTTGTAAGTTATGTTTTTCACATATGTAGGTGCTCTGTACAATACATAGTTTTGCATCTGTGTGTAATCGACATATTTGACTTTGCAGCCTGATGTTTCCTTATGTAATGAAAATGAGTTAAGTGATTCAAATTGGACCTATTGGTTCTGTCTTGCGTGCGCACACGTTGGTTGTGGACGCGGTCAGCACAAGCATGCTATTGCTCATTTTAATACACCTCGCTCAGAGCAGCATGATTTAGTTGTGGATATAGAGTCATGGAACGTATGGTGGGTTAGCTGTCAGATATTATTACTGCATACTTCTATTGTGATAACTGTTATCTTTCAATCTTGAAATTTTTTTTAATTTTTTTTTTTTTTTAAATTTTTTTTTTAATTTTGATAGGTGTTATACTTGTGAACAGAAAATGGCATTTAACTCAACAAAAAAGTTGCAGGAATGTGTTGAGTATGTTCGGCGGCACATACAGACATCTAAATCTGTTGGTTAGTTGTAGTCTAGTTTGAATTTAATTGAAGGGCAGGTGAACATATTTTGAGAAAAGGGGATTATGACTGCCCTTATTCTCATTTTTTCTGGTATTATTCTTCCAGAATCTTCTTCAGTTCAAAGCCCTAATTTAGTTAATGTTTCTCAAGCTGAGTCTACTGCTGCAAATAGCTCAACAGCTACTGCTGTAAATGACAAGGATGTTAAAGTGAGAACAAATGTGCCCGTTGGTAGTTCTAAAATTGCAGCCAAGCCAATCAAAGTTAGGGTGAGTACGTGGAAATTCTCTGGAGAAAATCGAGAGATACTGAAGGAAAAACATTGTAGTGCATTCAAATTACTCTTTCTATCCAGGGTCTCATGAATCTGGGAAACACTTGCTTTTATAACTCAGTGCTTCAATGTTTGAGTGTCACTCCTTATCTAACCAAAGTTTTGGAGAGGCTTACTTGTAGTGGGGAAGAATTTACTCTACCAGGAGATGCCAAATCAGAAGATTTTAAGGTTGGTCTTAAGAACTCACAGAATATTTCTTTTCTGAATATCAAGGTAGCATTTATAATTAAGTTGTTATTTTACTTTTTAGGCTCCTGCTGTCCTTGGACAGCTTGGGGATTCTGGAGCAATAACACTTGCACTTTTATCTACATTACTGGATATGAGAAGTCCTGACCTGCATGCAGACACAATTCGACCACAAAAACTTTTAAAACAAGTTCAAGATTCTTTTTCCCAATTTCGTGGAAATGAACAGCATGATGCTCATGAGCTCTTGCGACATCTTCTAGAAGGTGTCCGATCAGATGACCTTAAGGTATGATTTAACAATTTAAGTAAATGGCAATAATCATTAGCGTATAAATCTTTGATTGATTGGCTGTGTGTTGTTGGTTTTTTAGCGTTTTCAACGAGTAATTTTGGAACAACATGGAATTTTTGGATCTGTGAAGAATGGTGTTGATGATCATGTTAAGAAAAGAATGAAATTGTATGGCCAACAACTGCAAGATTTTATTTTGGGGGTAGAAGGCATCTTTAAAGGACAGTTAGTAAGCATTGTTGAGTGCCAGGACTGCAAACACCATTCAACTCGGTTTGAGAGTTTTCTTGATCTAAGTCTTCCAGTTATGGAAGATAAGGTGAGTTTCATATTTTACATTACTGTACTTTGTGGCTTTTATTGTTATTTTTTTACTCGTTCTTTACCAACCCACTTTCCCTTCTCGTTGGTAGGAAGAACGAGTATTGTTCTCAGTGCTGTGTAACCCTTTTCCTGTTCCTGTTTTCATCTCAGAACACACAACACCTACAGACATGACAATAGTACCACTGTAAAGCGGGAACGCTGGTCTCAATTAAAGCAATGAACCTTT